TTTATTTCTGCACAATCTTACTTCTTGGTTATCCTTACTTCCTAAATTTGTACTTTATTCCCTGAGATCCCATAATTTTAATTTGTTTTGTTTGTCATTTCCTGCCACTCCAAGAACTCAGAGCAGAATAAATCCTCTTTGTATTCTATCTTTATTCTACAGATAGTGACCTCTCGTTTATTCACATGCGTTCTTTGTAAAACATTTTGTTACTGCTATGGATTGTTTTTGTCCACATGCTTATGGGAAGAGAGCTCTCAAAACTCCAAAAGTGAAGAAACTATTAGAAATATGTCTTTGCAGTGGATTTTCTCGGGCTGACAACCCCAAGCCGCAGACTAAGTAATTTACAGAGAAAAGGGATGCTGCTGGCTCTGTGTTCTGGTTCAAAGACCAAATCTGGTGACAGTGCTGTCGACAGACAGGTCCCAAGGGGCCCAGGTGGCCCCAGGGAGAGAGACAGCACGAGGCTGCCCCACTGGCTTTCACAACAGGCCCGGCTTCAGATAACCCATTCACCGGCTAATCCACTAAAACTCTCATCGCATAAATGGATTAATCCTTCCCTGATGGCAAAGCCCTGTTCATCTCCCAAAGAACCCACCTGGCTGCCTTTCTTAGCATCTCACCATGGGGAAGCGTTCCAAAGGAGGCAAACTGTCCAGACCCCAGCACATCTCGTCTTGTGTGTTGTTCCACTGAATGCTATTTACGCACAACAGTATGTGCCGTCTATCCTAAGGGAGTTGTTTAATGTAAAGGAATGAAGCTCTACATGCACCAGCTCCACACGAGGAATATGCGATCATTACATACTGCAGGCACGCACTCATAAAACACATGAAAACTGCATTCGCAATATGCAATGCATCATAGAGTATTTGTATTTATAACATGCATAGTATGTGTATATAAATCGAATATGTACAATATGAACAACTTATGATGTGTTCATGGTATGTAGAAAAAATATTTAATAATATAAGTCACATTTATGGTAGGTATTTTGTTGTAAATACATTACTTATGTTTATAAAATATACATATTTATATGAGATAAATCATATATTTACAATATGTATAATTCATGATGTGTTTATGGCTAAGTGGAAAAGGAAATATTTAATAATGAAAATTGCATAATGTGTATTTTGTTATAAATATGTTACCTATATTTACAAAATACATATACATATAAGATAAATCGTATTCATAAAATATATTCATGTTTATAGTATGTAGAAAAAACGAGCATTTAATAATATAAATTGCATTTATAATATGCATTTTATTGTCAATATATTAATTATATTTATAACATATATTTATACAAGATAAGTCATTTATGATATATATTGCTTATGTTTATGATGTGTAGGAAAAAATAATATAAACTGCACTTAAATATGTTTTATTGTAAATACATGACATACTTATATATCATACCCAAAAGTTGCACAGTTATACATAATTATGATGACTGTAATCCAGTGGTACCTCGGTTGATAACCCTAATTCCTTCCACAATTCAGAAGTCCATGAACCCAGGCAGCACTGCCCACAGTATCTTTATGGAATGAATGTGGCTTAGATTATATTTTCATTCTATAATACACTTCATATATTTGTTCTACAATGTACTGTCAACATTCATATGCCATAAATAAACAGGAAATTCGAACATAAAAATATAAAGCACACGTTTTGTCTACAAAATTTACTGCATGCACATTAGTTCATCTGCATGCGGCTTATGTGACTGTACGCGAATACATTATGCTGCGTCCACTGGGTAGTGAGATGTTGGACAAAGGCACACAACACACTTCTATCTGCACCATGTTTTCCCTGCATCCTTTTTCACTTTGCTGGTCCTGGGTTGGGTCCTCATCCCAGGACTCCTTCCGCTACCCTGTTGGGGAGTGTGTGCCTCTGGCTGGAAGGAGGCACAGGAGGACCGGGGTCCCCCTCTGCCCGGACACCCTGCGCCGTGGCATTTGGACAGGGTTCCCAGGCCCACTCTCAGGACACACACAGGTTTGTTCCTTTCCTGTGGGGACCCAGCAAGCTGGGGTGGTGCCGGTGACCTAAAGATGGTCCTGATCCTCCAGGAGAGCAGGCCTGGGGTGCTGTGTGCATTCAGGACGGGCTCATGGTGCCTGTGCCTTTTGGCCTCAGTCCACAGACAAAAAGGAAGAGTCGCACATGCAAGACCCAGGAATCTCCCTCAGCTAAGAGAGTCATTCTTTCCCTCTTTTACAATATGCACTATTCCTTATCTGTTAAGTAGAGCATGCAACGTGAGCTGACAAACCACTGAATCATCTGCATAATTAACTTGTAAAACATCCCCAGCCCGCCTAGTGGGTGAGACCAAAAAATGTGAGCGGCCACGTTTGGAAAGCGGATCACAGGAAATCGCTTCCTTGATGTGCCCTGGGCGCTCCGGCACGTGGAGGGAAGCCAAGCCCTCTGCTTCCTCGAGTGGGAAAAGGTTAGAGTGTAAATACACTCAGTACACAAAGCAAGCATCCCTCTAGGAAACGAGCTCATGGGCCGTGCGGGCGTTCAGCATTTGCAGAACTGTAGAAGAAGGGATGTGTGGGAAGAGCCCCCTCGGACTCCCTTTGAGGCACCCTGAACCAGAATGTGGGGACCCCAAGGCACGGTGCTACCCTCTGCAAGGGTCGCATCTTACAACTTCAAAGCCAAATTCTACAGCACTACTGGGCATCAAAACAGACAAGGAATCCTGCCCCTCTTGCCAACGTGGGAAGGATTGGAAGCCATGAACTGAAATCAGGAAGTGCAGAAAGACAGGCACGGCATGATCTCACTCACATGTGGATTTTAAAAAGCTGACCTCAAAGAAGTTAGGGAGTGGTAACCAGTCCCTGTCTCTGAACAGCACGTTCAGCTATGAGCTCATGAATGGATGAATCCACCAAAGACCATGGGAAAAAGGGAGCCATATATGCTGATGGAAAGAATGTCAAACCATCATCTGCAATCCCACATTCACAGCTAAGGAATGGAAGCAACATAAATGCTCATGCATTGATGAGTGGATAAAGAGAACATGGCCCATACTCCTGATGGAATACTATGCAGCCATGAAAAGGGAAGGCATCCTGCCCTCTGCCATCGTGAGGGTGCAAGTGGGGATGTTAGAATGGATGAAACAAGGCAGGCACAGAATGACAAAGACTGCATGATGTCTCCTAGGTAGAACCTCTAAAATGCTGATTTCATAGAAGCTGAGAATAAAATGGTGGCTACGAGGGGCTGGGAACTGAGAGTGGGAATTTGAGAGCTACTGGATCCAAGGGTATAAAATCTTCAGTAGACGAGAGAAACAAGTTGAAGAGATTTTTCTGGACTACATGGTGGCCACCAGTGGTAGCAATATCCTGTATGCACGAAAATTGCTAAAAGGGAAAAGCTGAAGCATTCTCATCACAAGGAACCACGCTGTACCCAATGATGCAGACATTTCTGTGTCCATTCCCTGGTGTCAGGTATTGTCGATTTAAGGTACCAAGTTTCATACAGACAGCAAAGACTTCAAGATCTACTCCATAGCTCGGTGACCTTAGTTAGTGACAATATATGATACGGCATATTTCAAAATAACTCATAGCCAAAGAGTAGAAACAACCTCAGAGCCCATCAACTGGTGAGTGGACAAACAGAACACATTGCACTTATACCATGGACTATTATTCATCCATAAAAGAGGGAGCAGTCCCAGCCAAGTGCGCCTATAATCCCAGCTATTTGGGAGGCTGAGGCAGGAGGACTGCAAGTTCCAGGCCAGCCTGGACAATGCAGCGAGACCCCAACTCTAAATAAAAAGGGCTTGGGATGCAGCTCTGTGGCAGAGTGCTTGCTTAGCATGCACAAGGCCCTGGGTTCCACCCCCAGCACAGCAAAAAGAAAATAACAACAACAATAAAGTCCTGCCATTTGCAAGAACACAGGTGGACAGGTCTATCATTATGTGAAGGGAAATACGCCAGGCACAGAAAGACAAACGCTGCATGGCTTCCTTCAGGTGTGCAGCGTAAGGACTCAGATCCCAGGGAAGTAGAGAGCAGAGCCAATACTGGGGGCCGAGGGCAGCGAGAGGCTGCAGAACTGTACGATGCAAATGTGTGGGCATTTCATGTACAGCATACGGAGCCTGACTCACCACCTCACATTACCCACGGCAGTCTGCTGAGAGGGCAGATGTTACACACACATGCACGCGCACACACACAGGAACCATGGGATGCAGGTTGTTTCCAAACAACATCCCAATGCCCCTCGGCTTACGATGCAATTGCAGCCCAATAAACCCCACTGCAAGTTGCAAAGGTCACCAGCTGGAGGTGCGGAGAAGGCTCACAGCTACAGCTCAGCAGCGTGGCGGGACGGGGGACTGCACGCAGACCCAGCCATGGCTTAGAGCCAGGCACATGGGGGTCCACGCCTGACGCTCAGCCTCGCCTCACTGTGACAGCCGAGTCGCCAAAGCCTCAGCCAGAGGCCGAGTCTGCAAACAGGACGCCGACACCTCAGACGCATGCAGCAGGGGCAGATGGCACCATCCAGTTTCCAGGGAGCCCCACTGGCAGATCTCAGCCGACGCCCATTCCAGTTCGATTTCTATGAAGTCGAAAGCTACTGAGCAGATGTGCACAGCTGGCGGGGTCGCCAGGGCTGGAATCTACCTCCTGAGCCGCTCGGGACAGACTGCTCTCACCAGAGGGCGAGACCTAGCAGCGATCTGCTTGCCTCCCACTGCTGAACGGTACAAGTACAGCTGCCTCTTGGCCTGGGACCAGAAATCCCCAAGAGAAGAAAATGCAAAAAGCCAGGAGATCCACCTCCCAGATGTGCATCAGCGTACAAGTTCAACATCCAAGGGACAAATTCTGCACCTCGGTGATGAAGCTCACCTGGAATGGTCGCGTCAAGTTAGAGAGAGAGAGAGACACAGGAATGACAGGCATTACCTTTAGCATTCAGCATTTCCTCTCTTATTCTGCTCACCACTTCTTCAGCTCTGTCTTTGTTATTTCCAGCTACAAAGGAAAGAAAAGATACAAACAGGGTGAGGTCACCCAGAAGTAACTAAAAAAAAAATGTCTTTTTGTGGGGAGGAGAAGAGGATTTCGCAACAGGCCGTCATCTGGGGAAGAGCTTCCGGGGAGGACTGGACCCAGCCTCTTCAGACGCATTTTCCACAGCCCACACTGGTAAAAGGCACAAATGCCTCGGACACGGTGCTTTTAAATAAAGTCGGGGCACCTGGAGGTTTGCACCACACGTGAAAGCCAGGAATAGCTCCCACTTGGGAAGCTGAGCAGCCTGGACCAGAAATAGAATTCGCTAAGGAGTCTGCGATCCAAGGGCGGTGAACATGGACACAGTGGCTGTGCAGACACAGTCGGCCGATCCCACTGAGACAGGCGGGCACTTTTACACCTTTCTGCACAGCGTGGCCAGTCTCCAAACCTGCTTCCGGGAAGCCTCGGGAAGACACGGGGCCGGGATGCTTTGTGTGCAGGTAAAGGCCAGGGAATCTGGACTATGAGGGTTTCTGAGTTTTCTCTGATGCCCCCGGAAAGGGGCATGAGGGAAGAGGTGAGAGTCTGATGCTGCTGTAGATCATCGAATGTCCTCACTGTAAACTGAGGTATTTGGAAAACCTGCTGTGGAAATCCTGCCTTCTGCACACCAGAATACTCCTCAATATCTGGCCAGGAAGCCATGCATCTGGCCTGGGTGAACCCCCAAATCCCTGGGAGGTCAAGGGAAAATATATACTGTTACAGTTCGGATCTGAGATGCTTCCAAGATCGCTCTCTTAAAGACTCAATTCTCAGCTCCTAGTGCTATTGGACGACAGTGAATCCATGAGGAGTTGGAGCCAGAAGAAGCAAGTGGGGTCATTGGGGGTGAGGTCATAGAGGACATATTGGGACTCCACTTCCTCTCTCTGTCTCTCTGCTTCCCGGTCACCATGATGTGAGCATCTTTTCTCCCCCACACCCGTCTGCCTGATGTTCCTGCTCTGGAGCAGCCGACCATGGACTGAACCCCCTGAGACCACTGGAGCAGCTGACCATGGACTGAATTCTCTGAACTCTGAGACCACTGGAGCAGCCGACCATGGACTGAACCCCCTGAGACCACTGGAGCAGCTGACCACGGACTGAACCCTCTGAAACTGTGGGCCCAAGTAAAATTTTGTTTTTCTCTATCTGAGTCCTTCTACATGACAGAAAGCTCACTGAAGCAATTAGCAAACCACTGCTCTGTAGACCATCTGTGAGCGCTGTTGAAATATATTTTTGTTTAACCTGTACATTCTTACTAAGAAGCCAAAAGACCTTCTGTCTAATGTGAGATTCGTTTTATTCTTTGTGATGCATCCTGAGTCATCACTAAGTGCCCCCAAATTGTTTTTTTACAGAACTCTTTCCAATGAAAGGGAGTCTGGGGGTGATTTCGGACAGGAGCTTTGAGACAACACAGCGGAGAAGAGGTGTGGTGAAAACTGATGCAACCAGAAATGTCTTGGGCCCCGGCTGGAGATGTGTGAGATGGAACAGTGCAAAGCACTTCCTGCGGGGAAGGGCAGAAGAAGCATCTGAACTGTCCCTTGCTCAGAGGAGTCGGGAGCAGGGGACATCAGGAAGAGGACTCAGAGGTCATTTCCATATCTGACTTCCTTAAGGAAACAGGACGTGGTGCTATGGTTATTGGATTTCAGGCTTCTGAGAACTGCTCTGCATAGGAAAAGCCAGCAATGACAGAAAGGAAGTTCGAGTGGCCAGAGAGGCATAGTTCATCTGTAAAAGTCCCTGCCACCAGTGACAAAACAGGAACCAGAATTATACCCAAGACGACCTCTCCTGTGCGGTCGCGTAAGCTGGGAATTCTAAACATTCTTTAAATAGTCGGTGAAACGAAAAGTGGTCATGAAATACCACGAGCAGGACCCAGCCATCTCTCTCCTCGGCTTCTATCCAAAGGAAATGTAATCTGTTTGTCAAACTGATATTGTGTTCACTGCAAGACCGCCCAGCAGAGCCGAGAAATGAGAGCAACCAAAGAGGCCCATCGATACACGAGTGCGCAAAGAAACTGTGTTACACAGATATGGTAGAATAGTATGCTGCCCGGAAAAAGGCCGGGATCCTATCCTTTGGGAGAAGGGAGATGAGCCTAGAGAATAACATGCCAAGTGAAATAAGGCAGATATTGCCAGCAAGGATGGACTGCTCTTGCGGATAAGTAAAATCTAAAAAAATTAAACTCATAGCAAAGACCAGAATGGGATCACATTGGTAAGAGAAATGTTGGTCAAAGACACAAAGCTTCGGTGAGAAGTTTAGATGACACTGCGTGAAGGAAATGCTGGGAAAGCAACGCCAACCAAAGCGCTATTTCGGAGCAGTAAGAAGTAAGCAAATATGAGCAGCTGGGAAATGGAATGGTTGGATGCACGCCTGACATTCCCACAGTCCAGGAGGCTGAGGCAGGAGGATCCCGTATTCAAGCCAATCCCAGGCAGCTTAGCAACTTGGGTAATTTAGCAACTTCGCGAGACGCTGCCACAAAATAAAAGAATAAAAAGGGCTGGGGACAGAGCTCAGAACAGTGCTAGAGCCCCGGGATCAATCCCTACTGCTGCATGAATCTATACCTAAACAAACAAATTGGAAACAGCAACCGCAAAAGAAAACCCCAGGGGGAACGGCAGGAATAAGCACCTATGACCACGCGCATGCCGAGTCGGGTCAGCAGCCTGGCCGTGGAGAGGCCGATGCCATCCGTTCCTCCAGTCACCACTGCCACGCGGTCCGGTTGTGGGCAGAAACCTGAGGAGGAAGGCAAAGAATCGAAACTAAGATTGTGGCGTTTTGTCGTTGTTGTCTCGTGTCCTGTTGCACCGCACTGGGGATCGGCCAGGGTCCTGCACACTGAGCCCCGGGCCCAGCTGTTTATTTTAATTTTAATGTAATTTTATTTCCGGTACCGGGGATCGAACTCAAGACCTTGCACTCGGAGGCAAGCACGGAGCCACTGTGCTAAATCCCCGGCCCCTCTTTATTTTTTATTTTGAGACAGGGTCTCCTGGGGGCTGCAGCTGCCTCTGCCCTCTGCACCCGGAATCTGCAGAAAGTTCCTGACAGAGCTGGGACCGGGGCTGCACACTTGATACCCCCAAACTCCGGGAGGCTGAGGCAGGAGGGTCTCGAGGGCCAGCCTCCAAGCCCCTGTCTCAAAATATAAAACAGAACAGGGGCAGGGGAGGGAGCACAATGAAAACACCCTGGGTTCAAACCCCAGGCACAAAAAAAAAAAAAGGCCAGAGGCGAGGGGGGATTCGGCAGGCAGAAAATTAACCCAGCTGCCATCTACTGCTGTTGAACACGTGTGCTCATCACGGTTCTTCTGCAGTCTGGAGATCTGAACGTCTATTTGGGATTTTTTATTAAATAGGAAGTCTACGCTGCTATGGCCTGCACCCTGGTCGTGGTCTGAATGCTGGAAACTGGGAAACGGACACCGTGCTCAGTAGCTTGAGGCTCTTTGCAGCTGGGGTCTCGGTAGACAATTCTATCAATGCACACAGATAAGGACTCTTTTGTTCGTTGGTTTTTTCTTTTTTGAGACAGGGTCTGGCTCTGTAGCCCAGTCTGGCCTTGAACTCCAGGGAATCCCCCTGCCTCGGCCTCCTGAGTGCTGGGATGATGGGCGTGGGCCACCAGGTCCACAGGTCACAACTTACTGGACAGCAGAGTATTCGATATTAACTTGCATGAGGCAGTATCAGATTCTGAGAGTACAAGACAATCCGATATATGCATTTTTGTCAGGCTACACATTTAATTTCCAGGGTCACAATACAAATTTTCTCTGGCCAGGGCGGGTTCCACCCCAGTGCTGCAAGAATTAAAATTTTAAAACCCACTGGGTGTGCAGTGCTTTGATTTTTGTCTCTGGACACACGCATGAATTCACGAAAAATTCTCTTTCCCGAGAAAACCCGACTGTCACCAAAAACTACATGAAGATGGGTTTCCCAGGGCGCCCTGCTGACCCCGAGGCGAGGCGGACAGTCACACAGCCGTCCACGGGGAAGCAGAGGAAGACCCTGGGTAGGGCGCTGTTGGACGCCTGTGTGCTCACATACTTACTTTATTCAGGTGTTTTTGTGCAAAAAACCCAGGAGCTTCACAGAGAGCTACAACCCCAGCCCTTCTTTAAAATTTTTCTCTTATGTATGCTATTTTATGCAGCACTGGGGATTGAACCCAGAGTGTCCCTGGGCTTTGTTCAATCTTTTACTTCCAGACAAGATCTCACCAAGCTGCTAAGCTGCCCAGGCTGGACTGGAAGTTGAGACCCTCCTGCCTCAGCCTCCCAGAGTGCTGGGCTCTCCGGTGTGCAGAACCACACCTGGCTTATTTTTTAAAGGTAAATAGGGCCAAGGATTTAGCTCAGTGGTTCTGCCCCCTGCCTCACAAGCGCAAGGTCCTGCGTTCGATTCCCAGTACCAAAATAAATAGACAAATAAAGGTAAATATATTTATTCAGATGCTGATTACACACACGCACGGGTGCGCGCGCACACACACACACACACACACACACACACACACACACAGTCCTCAGTCCTAAGGCAAACTTCCTCATCAAAAGACCACGCTGAAACATTCCCGCTGAAGTTAAGATACACGGCAGAAAATCGCTTCGACTGCCGCTGTCGTTACTTAGGACGGGGTCCCCGGTGCACTGGCACGCAGAAGTCGCTACGAGACACAGAGTCAAAGAGGAAAAGCTAAATAAATATCTCTGTCTGCACCCACACAATGTGTGTGACAGGAGAACCAAAAACAAAACAAAAAAACAAATCAACATTAAGCAAGAAAAACGAGAGAATTCCAGAATTTCCTAAGTTAACAAGACAGGAAATGAACAGCTCCCAAGCCTGGAAGCGGTGGCATACACCGGCTGTCTTAGCACTCTGGAGGCTGAGGCAGGAGGATTCCCTCAAGTTCGAGGCCAGCCTGGGCTACGTAGTGAGTTCAAGCCCAGCTTGAATTGCATGGTGAGACCCTGACTCAAAAAGACAAAAAAAACAAAACAAAAGAGACCCTCAGGAAAGAGGACTCCGGAGCTGCTGCAGGAAGTGGCCAGGACGGTGGGATGAGTGTGTGCACAGCCGGGGGAGAATTCTACGGAGATTCATGGCCATGGGTCTTTTAGGGTAATAAATTCTTCAAAAATATAAGCACTCAGCTCATTTTTGATCACCCGTTATTTACCACAGAATTTTCTCTTTTTTCCCCAGAACTGGACAGATTAATTCTATCCCTTGTGAGAAAAGATTCCAATGTGATGCTAGCCGAGGAAATTCTGCTAACTAGAGGGACCGAGCGCAGCCTGCCACGCTGGATGTGAAGTGCGAGAAAGCATCTGTAATTCAGACGGAGGGGAAACAGGAGAGAGCCTAGCACCAGGCCAGGTACAGGCGGAAATGAAGAAAAGGGCAAAAGGTGGCAGAGGTGGGCTTTTGAATAAACGGTGTAACTGGCCTTGAAGTGGCAGGGGTCCTCCTGCCTCAGCCTCCCGAGTGTTGGGATAACAGAGTGATTACATTCAGGAGCCCTCCGCTGGGACAAAACTCAGCAAGCAGCTCACTCCGACACCATCCCTAAAGGAAGCGACTGGAAAGACTTTCAATTGGAGGGCAGGGGATTCAGGGCAGAAGGTTGAAGACAGATGTACAGGCGACCCAGCATGCAATTCCACCCACGGGAAAAATCCCCAAGGGAACCAAAAACATGAGTCTGCTCAAAATAGCTCACAGCACCATCACCTGTAATGGCTAAACAGTAAGAACAACATCAACATCCATTGTGGATGAACAAGATGTGAAACAGTCATGTGATGGAATACTATACAGCCATAAAAAAGGAATGCCATACTGGAGTTGGGATGTAGCTCAGTGGCAGGACTAGGGGTGTAGTGCAGGGATAGAGCACTTTCCCAGCAAGCACAACGCCCCTGGGTTCAATTTCCAGCACCACAAAATGATAATAAAAAGAGCAAAAAAAGTATCAAGTGCCGACTTACTCTATTACATGGGTGCACCTAGAATACAATGCTCGGGGAAGACACAAATGACCATAGAGTACATTGTTCACCTGAAACACCCAGAATAGGCAAATCCACAGAGATAAAAACTGGATTTGGGGTTGCTATGGGGTGGGGAGGGGGCTAGTGGTCGACCGTGAGAACAGGGGTTTCTTTGTGGGTGAAGGGAATGTTTTAATATTGCATAGCGATGTTGGTCGTATGATGAGAATCAAACAGCCCCAAATTCTACAAGCGAATGGGTGTGTTGTACGCGAGGGGGTTTGTTTCCCGGTGAAGCTGTTTAAATGGGAGCAGAGGGAGAGCTGGCAGCCCTCGGGGGTCACCGGACTCGAGCAAATCTCAGCCCAACCCCCCCAAAGTCTTTGGTTGATCTTGGTTGTTTTGAGTCAAGGTCTCACTGTGTAGTTCAGGATGGCCTTGAACTCCTGGCGATCCTCCTGCCTCACCCTCCCAGGGTGCTGGGATAACAGGCATGCAGCACTATGTTGCATTTGCGTGATTTGTTACAGCAGTGGACATGGACTGAGACACACTCGGAGTGGGTCCCCAGGTCCAGAAGAGGCAGGATGTCGGCTGTAGCTAAAGCCCCAAGGAAGAGCAGCTGGGGAACCTGCCATCTGTGCCCACAACCTCTTGGGCTCCAGGCCTCGGTTTTCTGGAAGGCAATTTCCCTGCATGTGGAAGGGATAGGGTGGCATGGGGATGATTTAAAGCAGCATGCAAGCCTGATGCCTCAGGGCACAGCTCACTGTAGTGGGGTTCAAGCTCCCATGAGAATCCAAGGCCGCCGGGGATGTGATCGTATGTGACACTGGGGTGGCTGCTATAAGCCATGGGGTCTGGATCTAGAGGAAATGGACTCAGAGTCTACACAGCCTTGTTCACAAAAGCCAAGAAATGGAACCAACCTTCGTGTCTGTCCATGAAATGGATAAAGGAAATGCACTGCATTTATATCATGGAATACTATGCAGCCAAAAACAAGGCGGGATTTTGTCATTTGTGGATGAGATCTGATGGGCAAACTGTGGGCCACACTTGATCACAGCAGATTCTGCTACCAAAAATGGCTGGATGAGTAGAGTTCTCACCACACACACAAAAAAATGGTGAGCACCTGAGATCACGCACATGAATCCCACGTATGGATACATGTAAGCAATATGTACTCTTGAAGAAATGCAGTATCACACTTCAATTTTTTAAAAAAGTAAATTTCCAGTGCAAGGACCCGAATTCAATCCCCAGTACCAAAAAAAAAAAAAAAAAAAAGTAAATTTCCAGTGGAACATGGTAGAGCACAGCAGTTATCCTAGCACTCTGGGAGGCTGAGACAGAAGAGTCATGAGTTTGAGCCCAGCCCGGGCAACTGAGTGACTTAGCGAGACCCTGTCTCAGAATAAAAAATTAAGAAAGGGCTGGGAATGGGGCTCAGCGCGTCTTCAGTATCACAAATAAACTAAACGAGTATGAAGCTCTTTCCTCCAGAAGAGTAATTATGTATTATATAACTTAAAAACGGATAACAGAGTGTAGTTTTCCTACTTGTTGTTTTTGTGGTGCTAGGAACAGCATCCAGGGCCTCCCGCATATCAGGCAAGTGTTTTCCCGAGTGAGACACCCAGCCCAAGAGCAGACTGCTCAACCCCCCAAAAATAAGTAGGAGTGATGGATATGTTAATTAGCTTATTATGGCTCATGTCTAGATGGC